TTTGAAATTGATATGTTTACAAGCAGTTCAGTGTGATATCATTTTAATAAACATTAAAAACTTTCGTAACAAACTAGTAGTGGTTTTACCGCAATTGACAGAAACTGAATCACGAAAATTAAAAGTATTTTATCAGGAATAACTTCAATGGAAAGTGAAGATGAAGACTACTGTTGCACCCTTTGATCAGTGTTATCTATCTCATAACTTTTTATAGCTGAAACCAGAAAATAGGTACATTAAGCTGAAATGTTTCCCGTGTCCAATAGTGTTTTTTCTTTAGATTTTCTGAATTTAAGTTTTAATGTCATTAGCAAAGTTTTGCAAATTGTCACTGTTTCGTAGACAATTAAATTCAAGATGTATTATATTCAATGTCACCTAATACCGTATGATCGAAAAAAAATGGCGTCCAGTTGGCTAGGAAATGACGATCGATGACATTTCCCATATAAATTTACATATAAAATGACAGCGATCTTCATTTCATAGCCATCGTTGACGCCGTTTTTTCTCGATCATACGGTATTATATATTAGGTGACTATATATATATATATATATATATATATATATATATATATATATATATATATATATATATATATATATATATATATATATATATATATATATATATATATATATATATATATATATATATATATATTGTAAAGGTAAATTTTTGTAAATAAAATATTAATGAATAAATAAAGAACTCAATTTATTTTAAAAGAGTTGTAAATATGTATATACACTGTCTTATTTCATCATATATTTATTTATTTAGCAATATTAATACATTACAACTTTTGTTTTTAACTGACTAATTCCACTAAATTTAATAAATAAAATATACAGTATATAAATTTAATATACAATTTAGCACCTATACCAAAAAAATATAACAGGAACAAGTTATATCAAGAACACAAAGAATTATAATTTAAAAAAATGCATTCTAAATAAATACCTGCTACAATATACCTACATATTAATTTAAAGAGCTTATTCATAAAAAACTATTCTAAATGGTTTATATACACAATCAAAAGTCCTTCAACCACTGTACATTATTTTTCAATTTAAATGAAGCATCTCGGGTAAGTAAATTATTTTATATTAGAATACTATATTGCTTTGGCGTAAATTAACTTTCAATAGCACTGTTCAAATGGTGGTTAATACATATCAACAGGTAATTTTAGCCACCAGCTAGTAGGTAAATTATTTTTATTTTATAACAAAGCCTCCTAGGTTGTTACCAGATGTAACGCAGATGTTGATTTTAGGCTATATTCTCTATTAATTTGAATTTAAAATTAATCTGTACACTGGCAGTATATAATTTGAATGTTTTTCTTAACATCTATCCATATTTTTTAAAATAAATAGTTATACCACTTACATTAGGACCTTTGAAAAGGCTTGGGTTTCTTTCACCCCGTTCTTTATTTGCCTTTTTTCCACTGTAAGTCACACTTATACAGCCAGGTACGAAGCAAGATCTATTATATAGGGTTTTTTTTAATCACACTCATTGTTACATTGCTAATAGTTCAATAAAATAACTATAAATTTAAAAAAAACTAGTGAAAACACAGTTAAATCGTATTCTAACAATGCAAATGATCAATCTAACCCGCTTACAGTGCCTCTGGTGTCAAACCGAGAAACTTGCTTTAAAGTAGGGACAGAAATTTCAAATATGCCCATTGTCGATTCGCCTCCTCCTTCTAGCCTCCATAGGGTAAACGTTACTATAAGTGGGACATATTTTAAAGCTAAAAATGTGTCGACATATTCACCAGGGACGTGCATATGGGTTATCACTGGAGTATTTTTGTAAAAAAAGAAATGTACGCCACTGACTATTTTTTCTTTTGTTAGAGAAATAGTGTAGACTTAATGGCCGATTAAAAGTTAGCTCTTGATATTTTGTCGATTTCGGTCTGCTTAATGAGATAAACGCATTTTTTATTAATTTACCTTAATCCAAGACTAACAGCAACTTAAAAAAATTAATATCATTAACTTGCAAAAGTTTTAAATTAGTACTCATTCAATCCTCATCAAAAAATATGAAAAAAAAGTTCTTATAAACATCGATATGGAAATGCATAGTTTTAGTGTTACAGGATGGTAAAACTTTAAATTAGTTTTTTTTTGTAATTATCTTAAATACCATGACTTTTTATTTGAAATTGCTGTAGGTTGGCAGTTCAAAATTTGCATGGGATTTTCTGTTTCCAACGACGATGTACTACCCGGTAGATATTAAGTTAAAATATTTGTTTTTCGTTGGTCTTTCTAGCTATTAAAACTTCAACAATATTCGTAGCCTGGAAATTAAGTACCAGGACTGAAAAAATAATGGCCAAAATGCCATATTTCCAAAGAACAAAGAAAGAATTTAAAATATGGGCCATGTTTTGTTTACGCTACATAATTGGCGGAGCAAAAATAACAAGAACAAATTAGTTTTATGTTTTTATTTGAAGTTTTCGAAATATCCACATCGTTGAGGATATTTATAGAAAGTATTCCTAAAAAAATACATGTGGCTTCGCCGTTCAACTTTCAACGGTCCATCAGAAAAATCCAAATATTTTCTAAGGCATTAATTAAAAAATCTTCCAAATTTTCCTTTCTTAAAAATCACATGTCATAACAAAGGTTGAATTTCCACTTAAAAATTAGAAAAAAAAGTAAATTTATAAATATTTAGAAGATCTTTTAAAATATAAAGTAAATAGTAAGAAAAGAACCCAAGGGTTTAAACAAATCCGGGATATACAGGGTGGTCCGAACTGTATTCCGGAAACTTCGGCAGCATATTCTGCAGATAAAAATAAGTAAAAAAGTTCATATAAATGTATATCCGAAAATGCTTAGTTTTGAAGATACAGGGTGTAGAAATTTCAGTTTTATTTCGATTTTTTCCAAATAATTTCTAAAGTAACGTCCATATTTGGATGAAAATTGGTATCTGGGAGTTTTTTGACATGAGAAATTTGATTTTCATGTCAATATGACCATATTTGTAGGGGGCGCCATCAAAGTAAATAGTAAGAAAAGAACCCAAGGGTTTAAACAAATCCGGGATATACAGGGTGGTTCAAACTGTGTTCCGGAAACTTCGGCAGCATATTCTGCAGATAAAAATAAGTAAAAAAGTTCGTATAAATGTATGTCCGAAAATGCTTAGTTTTGAAGATACAGGGTGTAGAAATTTCAGTTTTATTTCGATTTTTTCCAAATAATTTCTGAAGTAACGTCCATATTTGGATGAAAATTGGTATCTGGGAGTTTTTTGACATGAGAAATTTGATTTTCATGTCAATATGACCATATTTGTAGGGGGCGCCATCTACATGTGCTTTAACTGTTTGAAGTATAATAACTTTTCGTCCGTACCTGTATAAAACTACTGAGTGAAAAATATAGATTTCCGTGACGTTTTACGTAAAAAATGTCTCTTGGTAAAAAACTCTGCGAGCAAACGTTCTCAAGATATTTAGCATGGAAATAGTCAATATATGTCATTATTGACAAAAATTAAACACTGTAGATTTAACTGAAACAATAAATTTGGAAAATTTTTATGTTTTAAAATTAAATCAATCATAAATTTTTCTGCGAAAAAATGATGATAAAACAGTTTCTATTGAACTTTTTGCACAAAAACATTTCAAATTTATGATTTCAGTCTAACAACTATTTAGTCAACATGTTTAATTTATGTCAATGATGACAGGTATTGATAATTTCGATTCCAAATATCTCGAGAACCATTACACGTAGCGATTTTTACCAAGAGACCTTTTTTACGTGAAAAAAGTCGTAAATGTATATTTTTTTACTCAGTAGTTTTTTTCCCATGTCAAAAAACTCCCACACACCAATTCTCATCCAAATATTGGCGTTACTTCATAAATTATTTGTAAAAAATCGAAATAAAAATGAATCTTCTGCACCTTGCATCTCCGAAACTAAGCATTTTAGGACATATATATTTATACGAACTTTTTTGCTTATTTTCATCTGCAGAATATGCTGCCGAAGTTTCCGGAATACAGTTCGAACCACCCTGTATTCAAGCAATGTACAAAATTAAACAGAATTACATTTTTTACACCAACAGGTAATGTATTTTTCAAAAAACAAATTAATTATAGGTATGCATAGTATTGACGTTAAAAGTTCGTGTTCATTATGTAACGATGTTTTATAAACGTATGCCAAAAGCCATTAAAAAAATCATAACAACTCAAAAATTTCTAATATTTTTTAATACTGGAATTTCAGATAGTTCTAATACCTTTTTTATGGACTTCTAATCATACAGAAGGTTCATTCAGTACAACGAAATTTATTAAAAAATATTATCATTGCAGATATTTCATAAAATACCTTTTCAAAAATGCATCCTGAAAAAATATCCAGAAATGAAAAATAAATAAATAAATAATTTTGTTGGGTAATATTTCGTCTGTTACGCTAAATTTTGATTGTTTCAACATCAGCATCATCAAGCAGCCACTAAAGTCCACTACCGGACGTAGGCCTCACTCGTTTACCTCTATAACTCCCTATCTTGAGCCATTTGCATCCAGTTACTGGTGGATACGCCTTAAGTCGTCATGCCATCTGGTTGGAGGACGGCCTCTGCTCCTGAATGCATCATGTCTTGGTCTCAATTCTATTATTTTCTTCGTCCATCGGTCATCGTTTAGCCTTGCAATGTGCCCAGCCCAATTCCATTTCAAAGTAGTTTTTTTTCTCTATGGCATCCATGACTTTTGTTCTGCCCCCCCCCCGTACTTCGATATACGGTACTTTGTCTCTCAGAGATAGCCCCAACATTGATCTTTCCATTTCTATTTGCGTTATGGTTATTTCAAAACTTGTTCAACTATTACTATTCTTAATAAACAAAGAACAAACTCACTAAAACAGTTTTCTATCAAATAAAATAAACGGATATATTTTCTTTTCCAGATCTGTTCATCATAGTCGATAAAAAAATGTCTGAAAATTTCAAGGTGCCTGAACCAGAATGGATTCTGGATCAAAATGGAAATGGACCCATGTTCTGGCGGAGGGATATCAGTGAGGAACAAAGTTCGAGGTAAGAGAATCAAGCATTTGGATCTAATAAACTCATTTTCACACGCCACTGATTTCGATGTACTTAATCTCTGGTTTTGGGCATAGAACCCACACCAATGTTTTTTTTTATAATTTTTTCACATTTTATCGAGAAATTTGGTATATCGTCAAAAAAGAGGGGGTGAGAATGCTTAAAAAAGGATATTTAATAAAAACAAAACCCTATTTATTACAACTGTACCTAACACCACTGCACATTGTCGTCGGTAGTTATGCCAATGCGGCAATGATTAGAATGGGCATTGACGGAAACAGTAGTGGGAGGATTTTCAGGTCAGGGGCTTGGAACACCCCCAAAAGGACAATTTCACTTCTCCAACTCCCATGACATACCAAGAATTTACAACTTTGAGAAACACCTCACTGTAGTATTGAGTAATAAAAGAGATTGGAAGGAAGAAACGCTTACTCAGCATATAAAAGACAATACCATAACGTGGTATACTGATGCTTCCAAAACCAAAGCAGGGACAGGGATTTGGACCGAAAACTAAATACTCCGAACCAATGGACACCTACCCCAGTATCCTTCAAGCAGAAATTTACGCTATCGAAAGATGCGTACAATTTATCTTAGATAGGAACTATCGAAAACAGGAAATTGCCATCCTATCCGATATTCAAGCAGCATTAAACGCGATCAACTCCAGTAACCATCAATTCGAAGTTGGTCAAAGAATGCCTAGAGAAGCTGAACAAATTAGGTAAAGAAAACACCTTAGATTACACCAAGGGATAGAAGGCAATGAAAAAGCAAATAATCTAGCTAGGAAAGGAGCGAACACTTCACTAACTGGACCAGAACTGTTCTGTTTTCCAAACGGGAACCAACTGAAAGCGGAACTGAATAATCTGGAAGACTCCATCCGTAACATGGAATGGGTGTCTTCCAACCCCCCGGTCTAAGACACTCGAAAAACTTCCTCAGAACTTACAACCGAGAAAAATCAAAGGTTTTCCTTGATTTAAGTAAAAACAATCTTGGGATTGTCACGGGGTTTCTAACAGGACACTGTCTTCTCAACGAACACCTCAGTAGGCTGAAACTGAGAAATAACGGCGAATGCAGATTCGCAGATTCTGTGGGGAAAATGGGGAAACACCAGAACACCTTAACACTGAGTGCGCCGAGACGACGACCATTCGTGCCATGAACTGTGGTACAGCTGATATCGAGGATGGAGAGCTGGCCTCTGTGGAGCCGTCTCAGATACTGGCTTTTGTTAAAGCCCTGAGACTGTATGATGAGTTATCACTCGTTATAACTCAAGAAAGGGGAACACAAAATAGATCTGTAAGCGGTGATTAACTCCCCCCTTAAACATTCTACATTCTACATACAACTATACACCATGAAAAACTAAGATGTTAATTATGTATAGTTTCAATATGTTTTAAGTATTAAAACAATTTATTCTTTTTATTTAAATGTATAAAAATATTTCTTTCACTAGGAATATCAAGAGTCTAAAAGTAAAAAAAATTATATATTTTTTTTTATTTTTAATAATTGTACACCTACCTCAATGACATTGGTAGGATAAATCAGTCAATTTACATAATATATTATTGATATACAAGTATAATTTATTTTTCTGCGAAACAAAATATACATACATAATAAACAACAATATACATGATTGCATTTATGCTGCTAATTAGTATTAAATAATATTATTATTAAACAATATTTAAATGTTATATTCGCGCATTTATTACCGAGCAATTTACATTCCATATTTAAAGTAGGTACTCCAAACTTACTGCTAAAGGAATAAATACAATGTGATCAAAAAGTTTTATGATCACGTGTGCAATAACAGCGTATGATGGTAAAAAACAGCCGGTAAACATTTCTCTGTATGGTTGGGAGAGTCCTTTAGATTTTTTTTTTACATTTCAAAGTCAAAGCCCGCTTGATCATAAAACTTGAATTGACAATGAATTCTTAAGACTAGAAAATACTCAAACAAATACAAAAGATCGCCTTTATCCTCCCTATGTCATCCTATATGACAAGGTTTGACAAATTAGTAATAAATTCTTTAGTTGGTCCTGATACATGGTACAAAGAATACAAGGTATCACAGGTGATAACAGGCGCTATTGGTCAGCACGCTCCGCGCGCCAGTTCAAATCGTCAAGGTATTGTTATAAACCTGTTTTTTTGTTTATATACCGTCATTGAATTATCGCTAAGTAAGTTACTGTGGAGCAGTGCGTAAGGAGTTGGGCTAGGAAGCGAGAGACCGGAGTTCGAATCTCGGCGGGACATAACTTTTTTTTTAAATACTGTTGTGTTCTATAGTTTATTTTTGTAGTATAAAAGAAAGAACTATTTATTTTGTTATTTTTTAATCTGCGGTATTAATATAAATTGATTGTTGGTACAATACCTCATTTAATATAAAATAATATTCTACTTTTTGAAACGTATCTGGTCCTAATTGTACCTAAAAGTAATATATTTTTACAGTGATATACCATATTGTAAACTATTGAATATTTCAGTCACTTAAAAAGTTAATTTGCATTGAATAATTGCCTACGATCAAAGGAAATTTGAACTATATAATCCTTGATGGGCATATTCTGGGTATGCAAATACTTCCTCGAAATTTTGGGTTTCGTTCAACCGATTTATTCTCAAAACCTGAAACATCTACATATAAAAAGAAGCACAGGTCACTAATTATAATAAACTTCACCCTTGGAATTACTTCTATCACAATTACAATACATTCATCTGCATTGACATTTTCTACTTTTCGATGGGAAACAATATAATTCCCAACATTTTTTAAATGATGTAACAATTCCTCTTGTAGTTACTTTTCCATAGATATCCTCATCTCTGTCCTCATGGACCTCATGTGAATTCAGAGGCAATGAACATAAAAATTATTTACCATAAACATCGCAAACTAAAAACCTAATAAACAATTTTATACCGAATATAGAAATAAATTTAGTATTCTTACCTATTATGGTCCAAATCCATGTTAATAGATAATTATTATTTTTAAATATATTTTTGAAACTGCTGGTTTTAGTAATTATTAAATTAAACGAACTAAAAAGTCTTAAAAATAAACAATTCTTAACCATAACCTCAAAAAATGCAGATCTCCTGTCAACTTTCTTTATTTTTTATTTATTCATTAATTTTCCTAGTGACGTCACAGGTGGTATGCGCAAACTGAACGAAATTGGAGCCGCTATCGATCATACCTTGTATTCTTTGTACCATGGTCCTGATATCTATGTCAAAAAGCAGACGTAATATCAGAATGACCTTGAAATTTGCAAAATTTTAATGAATTTTTGAATATAGAGTTCAATTCCGTATAAAAAACATATTGTATATTGTTATTTCTTTTTACTAAAGATCATTTTGTCGAAAAAATTATCTATTATCAAGGTCATGGTCTTATGCAAACGAACATAATTAAATATCTTTGATAATCATTTATTTTAGGAACATTATTTAATTTAATGTTTTAACTAATTACATTTCGTTAAGTAATTTTATTATTTTCATAAAAAAATGCATTGTATTTCATTTTTGACAGGTCAGTATTTCTAATTTTTAATAAAATTGTTGGAAATTCTCACAATTTCGGAATTACATTTAATATCGAAATTTTACACAAAATATAACAACGGCTTAACCCTACATAGGTTGATGGTCGCTAAATCGACCACTTTAATTTAACCAACTAATCAGTCGCGTGGAAATGTATTATCGCCCAGTTTGTGTCCTATGCTTATTTCTATGCGTGTCTCGGCCATTTAATCAACCATATAACCACATTCGCCGAATTGGCGCGAAAAGATAACGTAAGTGGTTGATTATTCGACCAGTAAGCACATTGGTGACACTGAGTTCGCTGTGTATCATATAGGTAATAATTGTCGTCTAAGCATTTTCTATGCAAATTTGGTGCGATAAAAATTTAAAAATATAGAAACAAATGTATCTGTCACGTTTATTTATTTTTATTTAGTGCACCACATTTACGGCTCAGATGATATTTTCTAAAATTGTTAACATGTCCTGTATATTTTCGATCATTTCTCATTAGATGCGAGTTTCTCGAAAAACAAAATTTGATTTATTTGATATAGGCATATTTTAGAGTAGAGAGCGAATAGAGATAATCAAAATGAACTTACTCTTTTTTCTTAGATTGGACGATACAATCAGTTTATACATAACAGTCTTTGGTTGAAAAATCGACCACCGCCCCCCCCACCCCCACTCCCTGATTTATTAACTTTTTGAAGAATTGAAAAAGGGTGCTACATGAAATTGGTAGTGATATCATCTGAAATTAACCAGAACTATTTTTCAAGAACTACAAAAATATTGCAAATTTATTCAGAACTTCCAATTTCCAGTTCATTTTTCGAAAAAATGGTGCCAACCTCACGCGAGTTTCAATGAATCTGACAAAAAACATTAACAGTGCTGACATAGTGCACACGAACAATGTGCTCTTATCTTAGTGTATACTAAAACATACTTAACAAAACAACATCAGTGGATATCCTTTACATTGCTTATTGATTATAAACTTCTTGACATGCTTATTGATTATTACTGACCAGCTAGTAGTTTTTGCAGGGTAATTTTTAAAGGGCTTTATAAAATTTACTCAAACACATTTTTCTCGTTACAGGGTGAAATTTAAACACGACGTGGAAATAAAGGAGTTCCACAGGAATCCCCATGAACTCCTGGAACCACTTTGGACGCAGGAAATTCAAACCCCCACAGCCTTCACCACCAGTATGGCTTGTATTGTGTGCCTGACAGTATCTTTAGTACTACCCTGGTATATCCTAGGCGGTACGCTTTACTGACCTCTAGATAATTTAATCGTTGACTTTATATCGTGCTAATTATGAACAAATGTTCGTATTTTCGGTGTATGAGCTCGATCACACCACTTCGATGGGAATCATCAACACATACTGGGCTCGTGAACTGCCGGATTGCGTAAAAATAATACAGAGTGGTAGATAGTGGACATTTTACGATAGTACGAAGAAGATTGTACATATTGTATAAACTAAAAAAACAGTATGCTGTAGAAATAGTATAAAATTTAATTTATTACACCGTTATTTAGAAATATCACTCATTTGACAACCCACACCAACACACATTATGAATCTAGACTCACTTAAGCATCAATATATTTTGAAAAAATTGAAATCCATAAACAACGAAAAAAAATGGCAATAATGGCAGCAAATACAAGGTTTATTTAGCTAATAATTATTAAAAATATATTATAATTTATAAAATGCGATCAGAAAAGCAGTGTTAGAGATGGCTTTCAAATGAACATCGCGGTCAGCATAACTGATTGTAGCGCCGATTTTTTTCGCTCATGCCGTATTTACCTATTAGGGTCGCTGATATGTATGGGAACGGTTGATTATTACGTAAAATACACAAGGTACCGCAAAAAGTTAAATACAAAAGTTATAGAGTTTTTAAATGTCTAATTGGTCATAAAGTTGTGGCACATAATTTTTTTTAAATGCAACTCCCTGTATATTATTGCATATTTCAATTCTTCCTCCAATTTTCAACAATTATCGTAATACACATAATGTACTTAAATTTAACCATTTCTGAATTATGAAGGTTTTATTATGAAATGTTAAACAAAAATTTTGTCATTTCCAGACTTGATATAATCTCATTTTATACATCTATAAATGCTAACTTAAAAACTAATGTCAAATATTATTAAGTAGGTATCACAGTTTCTATAGAATGGCATCGTTAAATCAAACCGAACACATCGAAATTCATTAAATCGAATTGTTTAAGTGATACATATTTTCAAAAGTCAATAACTCGTAAAGGATTGGTTTGGGGTACATTGTGTGTTTGTCGATTTTTGCTTAGAATTGAACGAAGAATTGAAATATGTAATAATATACAAGGGGTTCCATTTAAAAAAATTAAACTTTGATGTGCCACGACTTTATGAACGACCCTATATACTTAAATTTATTACTCGCTAATAGACATTTAAAAACCTTATAACTTTTATATTTAACTTTTTGCGGCACCTCGTATATTTTACCTAATAATCGCCAGTTCCCATACATATCAGCAACCCTGTATAATTACTTATAAGCTATTACTTTTAAATCTTTTTATATTATTTGGAAGATTTGAAATTGTTTAAAAAATGAATGAGGAAAATGCATGTTTTTAAATAATGGTTTTAAAAAATAGTTCATATAATTACAAATTGAACAAAAAAAAATGGTTGATATCGGTTAAGAAATGCCTCTAATATAAAACAATTAAATATTGTTAATTTAAATGGCCAGGCAAACGCTCTCTACCGCGCCTTGCCGCTGTGACGTCACCCGCCGTTCTTCTGGTTGAGAGGAGCCAGACGCGTGTTTATTCTACACAGTTTGCTTTTAAACGCTGTTGAATCCGAGTCAAAATTTTAGTTATTTGTGTTAATTAATACATAATTAGTAATTAGTGATATTTATAAATAGTAATGGATGAGCGAAAACAGAAAAAAATGGTCCAAGGCCATGAGAAGAGATGAAAAAAGAAAAACGTTAAATTATCCTCTATTTTTACGATTTATTGTTGTGAAGATCATTTTAATGTAAATTCATATATTTATGTATATTGTCTCACATAGGTATATGAAATTTGAATGTACAGGGTTATTCATTATATTTTGACACCCACATACAGCCTTAACTGCAAGTTTTAGAAGAAAACATTAAATAAAAAAGTTGCATGGTTTTTCATATACTCTCTTTTAAAATGAATTCTAGTTATACAGGGTGTCTCAAAAAAGGTGGTCCAGAAAATTGTAGGTATTTTTCGCTTTTCAACTGTCAATATTTCGTAAACATTTGAAGATAGGTATAGGATATTATACAAGAAATATATCTAGAATATCTAGAAATTTCCGAAGAATCCAAAAATATATAGGGTGTTTCACTTAAAAAAGTAACTTATTATTTTTTAAACTCACACCTTGTATAATATTTTCATTACTGATAAACAATTTATTTTCTATAATTTCGTAAAAAAACACTCTTTAAAAATAACAAGGGTAAGGGGGTGTCAATATATAAAAAAAACTTTCTTTTTCACGCAATGCTCTGGAGTTATTTTTCCACGTATTAAACAAATATTTTTGTCTCTTTTCACTTCTACATAACCTACAGCATTATCTCCATACGTCTTCCTACCTGATCTGAAAAATAAGTTTATAACATTAATATTTATAACTATATAAAAGTTCGTAACAGTAGGTACCTACTTATACTTAAATATGCCTCAGTACTACAAAGAATAAATGTTACATACCTCTCTGTTTTTTTTCCTCGTAATTCAGCACCAATAAATTGGGAATTTGTATTTATAAAAGCAGCCAACATAAAAGCATCGACTTTTGGCAAGTTATCTGATTGTGCTTTTACAAACCCGGAATCTGCCATTACTTAAAAAATTCTCAGAACACACAACACATACAAATAATAACTGCACAAAAAAGCATAATAAGCTCCTTCAATCATCGCTAAAAGCAACAAAAATGTCTTAGCACGCCACCTAAATACGTACATAAACGGAACACGCCTGGCTGCTGCTGGCCATCGCGCGTCGACGAGAACGGCGGGTGACGTCAGACCAATAGAATATCGTTTCAATTCGCGAGGCGTCGTTTGCGTTATCCATAGTATTTTAATGGCCCGTTTTATAAAATTGTGGTACTGCTTTCAAGAAAAAAGTTTTTTTTTGCATTTACACATATTTATTCTAATAAATTGAACAGTTTATGGCGAACAATAAAATATATGCATCTTCCTCATTGTGGCGCTTGAAAAAAAATAGCATGTTCTATTCGGAGTAAAAATGACTTTTCATGCCCTCGTCTGTATGTCGATCAAACGTACAGCATCGCCACAACAAGTATCATTTTTACTCCTCATAAAACAATATACTATTTGCTTATGAATGTAATATTGAAGTATTTAGAAGATCATTTTATTTAATTATCTGCTGATCATGCTAACATTGTTAGCAAAACGAGCATCTAGAGTAATCAAACCGTGTATAGGCGTAGGTGTCAATTAAAGCCTTCAACCTGAACCTGAAGTATACTAATTTTGTACAAATATAACTTTATATTTATGCCGTATGATCGAAAAAAAAACGTCGTTAGCGATGGCTATGAAAAGAAGATCGCTGTCAGTTTATATGTAAAATTACATCGGGAATATCATCGATGTTCGTGTCCAAGCCAACTAGACGCCGTTTTTTTTTCGATCATATGGTATTTTATTTATTAGTATATACTTATATTTGCACAGGGTGGTCTATCGAAAACGTTCCGCAAGGCATAACGGATAAGGTTTTTTTTCGAAAAACACACATTAAATAGGAAATTATTATCATTCGCCACTCGTTTACCCATAGTTTCACAAAATTACAAGCGACGATCAAAATCGTCTTCGTTGAGTTCTTGTACCAACTCAATTTTGTACGGGTGGAACTTGTGTTTTTTTAATATCCTTTGGACACTTGTACGATTCACGCCGGTCTCATTGGCTAATTTTCTTGTACTCAGCGTACTATCCATGGCAACTTGGCCCAATACGAATACCTCCATAGCTTCATTTACTACAGGATTTTCCCTCTGCCTCTTTTTATTCATAACGGAACCAGTTTCGCGAAATTTTGCTACTAACTCGCGAACAATTTTGCCATAAAGGTGTTTGTCAGGATGGTGTTCATTGAATATCTGCGCAAATCGATTGCCACATTCATTATTTTTAAAATAAAGTTCGATTATTTCCACTTTTTCTGCAAGTGAGTACACCGTAATTATTAAAAAGTTTAACGATATTGAGAAGAACTTCAACGCATAAGTCACTGAACAGCTATCTAGCAACTACCACACTTGATCGTTCAACCTTGTGGCAAGTGAAAAAATGCGTAGACATCTAGAAATAATAAGAAAAAACAGCAAATTGGTCGAAGAAATTTACCGTTGTCATTTACTCTGATAAATGTTTAAATAAACTTTTCGAATTTCGATCCTTCATATATTCTCAATGACTCGACCGATTTACAAAAACGAATCCGGAATTTATAGAGAATAGAAAGCTCTTTTCATTGCGGTGCCACTTGAACCCCCTTCCCATTTGAAAAAAATTGGGGTATGACACCCCCGCTTAGAGGGTTGAAGATTTTGCAATCATTTTTGGGGCAAACGTTGTCCCCCTCACAAACAAAATTGACGTGTTTTTGAATTTTCTGAAAAAAAAAATTACTCTGGCCGTTATGCCTTGCGGAACGTTTTCGATGGGCCACCCTGTATTTTATTTATTATTAAGTATATCAGTCTAATGCAATAAGCATATGTCTTCGGTTTGTTGCAAAAATTGTCTTATTTATAGTTTATGATATGTATTTATTAGCATATCTGACAGAATTTATTAGTAATTATAATAAGCGCCATTTTACTAATTTCTGGACGGCTGGCGGTTATCAGGTTCTTCCCATGTATTCTATATTTTTACAAGGCTTATATCAAAGGATTTAACAACTTATTGTCCTGCAGAGTTTATACATTCTGTAGGGACCAGTTAGATCTTCTATAATATTGTAAAATCCTAAAATTAAGAAATTAGCGCTTATCAAGTTTTTCCCCCGGACCTTTCAATTGTGTTACTATTGCAAAAAACTATAATGAGATCATATTTTAACTGCAAAATTTGCAAAAGAATTGTTATAAACAATAAACCACTTTCAATGCTTGTTAACTGACATTTTGAGTCTTGGAGTTTTTGTAGCGACGAAGATATGTGAGTGCAGCAAAATATGGCTAAAGAACAAGATAAATTGCTGCTACCAAATGATTTATATCCTTATTACTTGAAACCTGAAATAGTATTAGGGCATTAGGACATATAGTTTACATGGTATTACAGAAATTTTTATTTAAAAGATTTTTCATTCCCAAAAATAGCCAAGAAAAACATGAAAAAAAGTATTTGAACTCATAACACAGAAAATATCAATTTTAATATTTTTTTATTAAACACTTTCAATATAGGTATGTATTAGATGATGAAATACATAACTGCATATATATATTATAATTAACTGTTAAAAAAATAATAAATATAACGTTTAGTTAGAAATTCGTAACAATATTTATTGTATTTCAAAATGATTTTTTTCAGTAACAATAATCAAGCTTTGTAGAAAAATAAATCCTTCTATCAAGACACTTGGAATATTATAATAAATTGGGTAAATTATTAAAAATATACAGGGTGTCTCAGATTTTAATCGGGAAAATTTAATAGACGATAGAACTTGCAAAAATAAAACAAAAAGTTCATATCAATCAACTTGTAAGATTTAAAGCTTCCTTTTCGAGATACAGGGTTGTATCTAACCATTATTATTTAATTTCTTGTCCAGGGTGGAGTGAATAAATGAATTTAATTTTTTTTTGCAAGAAGTAAGCAAGATAGACAAAAAAGTCAGGAGACAAAAAAATAATATTTTTAATTACTAAATCCAAAAATAATATTAAACTTCTAAAAAAGCAGTGGCGTACGTATTTTTTCCTTTAAAATAATTTAACAGTGATGCCCCACCGCCGCCCCTGGCCATTAAACTTAAATCTAATTACATCCAATTAAGTTCCATATTAAGTATTATAAACGGGT